CCTACCTTGCTAGAGAGCAAAAATATTCATACACAAAGAAAACTTCTGCAAGTAAATTATGGAAAGGACTGAAGGATAAAGTTTTGAAGAAAAACAGTCAAAATAAATTATACATGAAGAAGAGACTGTTTCGCTTCACCTACATTCCTAGTACCACGATGAATGAACATATCACCAGTTTCAATAAATTGGTCACAGATTTGCAAAATATGGATGCAACTTTTGATGATGGTGACTTGGCCTTGATGTTCTTGGGGTCACTTCCTGATGAGTACGAGCACCTTGAAACTACTCTACTCCATGGGAATGACGAAATTTCTCTCAGAGAAGTTTGTTTGGCTTTGTACAGCTATGAACAAAGAAAGGGACAAAAACAAAATGGCGGAGAAGGAGAAGGACTGGTTGTGAGGAGTCATCCTCAAAATCAAACGAGGAGAAAGAAAGGAAGATCCAAGTCAAGATCTAGACCCAACAAAGATGAATGTGCCTTTTGTCGAGAAAAGGGGCACTGGAAGAAAGACTGTCCGAAGTTGAAGAATAAGGCCATTATGGATTCAAATGTAGTTGATGGTGATGATGGCCATTATGGATTCAAATGTAGCTGATGGTGATGATTCAGACTTCTCATTAGTTACAACAGAGCCATCAACATCATCAAACATATGGTTGATGGACTCGGCTTGTAGCTATCATATGTGTCCCAACAAGGACTGGTTCGTGGATTTTCAAGAAGGAGAATATGGAGTCGTCCTCACAGGGCATAACAGCTCGCTTACCTCATATGGCATTGGTTCAATACGATTAAGGAACCATGATGGAATGATCAGAACATTAATAGATGTTCGATATGTACCGGATTTGAAGAAGAATCTCATCTCTGTGGGAGCCCTAGAATCAAAAGGGTTCAAAATCATTGCANNTAACCAGGCTATGGAACATGCGATTGGGACATGCTGGAGGAAAATCCTTGAAAACTTTATCAGATTAAGGATTGTTAAAGGAGTAAAGGCTTGCAACTTGGAGTTTTGTGAGCATTGTGTCAAAGGGAAACAGACAAGGTTTAAATTTGGTACAACAATCCATAATACTAAAGGCATTTTGGATTATGTACACTCTGATGTTAGGGTCCTTCCAAAACACCTTCATTGGGAGGGAAGCACTATTTTGTAACCTTTGTTGATGATTTTTCCCGAAGAGTGTGGGTGTATACAATGAAGAGCAAAGATGAAGTGTTGGGAATTTTTCTCAAATGGAAGACGATGGTGGAGAATAAAATAGGTAGGAGGATCTAGTGTACTCGCACAGACAATGGAGGTGAATACAAAAATGATCATTTCAATAAGGTCTGTGAAAATGATGGCATCGTCCGACACTTCACTGTCAGACATACACCACAATAGAATGGAGTGGCAGAACGTATGAACCGGACCTTGCTGGAGAAAGTACGGTGTATGTTGTCCAATGTTGGCTTGGACAAAATTTTTTGGGCTGAGGCAATTACATATGCATGCCACCTCATTAATCACTTACCATCTGCTGCTATTGATGGNCAAGACACCATTTGAAAAATGGTATGGAAAGCCTGCTGTAGATTATGACTCTTTGCACGTATTTGGCTCAACTAAATATTATCATGTGACAGAGTCAAAATTGGATCCAAGGGCACAGAAGGCTATTTTTATGGGGATTACTTCTGGAGTCAAAGGATATCGCTTATGGTGTCCTATAACAAAGAAAGTAATATTCAACAGGGATGTTACCTTTGATGAATATGCTATGGTAAATAAGGTAACAGAAGATACCAAACAAAATGAGAGTCTTCTAAGCAGGTGGAGTTTGAGGGAAAATTTATTTTTTCTACACAAGAAGCAGAGGAGGAAACAAATGAAGATTACCCTCTGGAAGGAGAGCCAGTAGAGGAGATTCCAACTCAGGAACCTCAACAACAACTTGAATCAATAGCAACCAGCAGGCCAAAAAGNGGGAAAATTTATTTTTCCTACACAAGAAGCAGAGGAGGAAACAAATGAAGATTACCTTTTGGAAGAAGAGCCAGTAGAGAGGGAGATTCCAACTCAGGAACCTCAACAACTTGAATCAATAGCAACCAGCAGGCCAAAAAGGACAATAACAAAACCTGTTCATCTCATAGAGATGGTTGCTTGTGCCGCCTCAATTGTAACTGATGATGTTCCTACCACTTAGAAAGACATAGTCTAAAGTTCAAAAGAAGATAAATGGAGGATTTCCATGAATGATGAAATACAGTCCCTTCATCAGAATCATACATGGAGATTGGCCAATCTCCCGAAGGAAAAGAAAGCAATTCGGTGCAAATGGGTATTTGCAAAGAAAGAAGGACTTCCTAACCAAGAAGATGTTCGCTACAAAGCAAGATTGGTGGCCAAAGGATATGCTCAAAAGGAGGGAATTGATTACAATGAAGTGTTTTCTGCAGTTGTAAAACATTCCTCCATTAGAATTATGTTGGCTTTGGTAGCACAATTGGATTTGGAACTAGTTCAGATGGATGTCAAAACTGCATTTTTACATGGAAACTTGGAGGAGGAAATCTACATGACTCAGCCAGATGGATTCAAAGTTGTTGGAAAATAAAATATGGCATGCAAACTTAAAAAATCATTGTACGGATTGAAACAATCTTGTAGACAATGGTACAAGTGATTTGACAAGTTTATGTTGCGGTAAGGGTATAAGAGAAGCAAATACGGTCATTGTATGTATTTGCGCAAGCTTGAAGATGGTTCCTTTGTATATCTTCTCCTATATGTTGATGATATGTTGATAGCTTCCAAGAATTCAAGAAATTGATAAGTTAAAGATTCAACTGAAGAAGGAGTTCGAGATGAAGGATCTGGGTGAGGCAAAGAAAATTCTTGGCATGGAGATAATAAGAGATAGACGTTCAAAGAAACTCTGTTTATCTCAAAAGGAATATTTGAAGAGAGTACTACAATGTTTTGGCATATATGAGAAGACTAAGTCAGTTAGTACTCCACTTGCTCCCCATTTTAAGCTAAGTACTACTATGTAGCCAAAAGATGAAGCTGAACAGGAGTATATGTCTAGGGTACCATACGCAAATGCTGTTGGTAGCTTGATGTATGCAATGGTCTGTACGAGACCTGGCATTTCCCAAGCTGTTGGAGTTATTAGCAGATATATTCATAATCCAGGAAAGGAGCATTGACAAGTTGTAAAGTAGATTCTACGGTATATTCATAATACTGTAGATGTTTGGTTAGTTTTTGAGCAGGAAGGCAATCAATTTGTAGTTGGATATTGTGACTCAGATTTTGCGGGTGATCTGGACAAACGAAAATCAACTACTGGTTATGTGTTTACTTTTGCAAAGACACTAGTTAGTTGGAAGTCTACTTTGTAGTCAACAGTTGCTTTATCTACAATAGAGGCAGAGTACATGGCTATTACAGAGGCTGTGAAGGAAACAATTTGGCTTCAGGGGTTGCTAAAAGAGCTTGGCATTGGACAAAAAAGTATCACAATTTTTCGTGATAGTCAAAGTGCTATTCAATTAACGAAGAACCAAGTTTATCATGCAAGGACGAAACACATTGATGTTCGATATCATTTCGTACGAGAAATCATAGAAGAAGGTGGAGTCACGGTGAATAAAATTCATACTATAGAGAATCTTGTTGATATGCTGACAAAAGTGGTAACTGTGGTCAAGTTTCAACATTGTTTGAATTTGATCAACATTGTTGAACACTGAAGATAGAAGATAAAGACACAACCAAAATTTGTTATTGAGAGAAAATTAAAGATGTGGAATTTTGCCAAGGTGGAGATTTGTTAATGTTGTCAAATATCCCACATCGGTGGTTGACACTTTTGTTTGAGATTTTTTCCTTGTCACACCTCCTTTTTACCTTACACCCCCGGAAAGGGTCTAAAGGAGTTTTTCCAATTAAAGGACAATCGAAACGGGATTTATTGTTAAAAGATTCAGAGTCTCCACTTGGGAGATTTATGGTGTCCCAAGTCACCGGTTGAATCCCGAATAGAGGAAAGGGTTGACTCTGTTTAACAGTCCGCGAACCAGAAATCCGAATAAGGAATTCTGTTAACCCGGGAGAAGGTTTTAGGCATTCCCGAGTTCCGTGGTTCTAGCATGGTCGCTCAACTGTTATAACTGGCTTAATTATCTGATTTTAATACATTTGAACCTATGTGCAAATTTTAACTCTTTAACCGCTTTTAATTATTTTTAGGAAGATTCAACGTTATTTAAAACACGCCTTGAACCACGTCACATGAAATTCACCCGCGGTTCGCGACACGTTCTATTTAACGATGTTGAGAATGGAAGTTGGGTCACATGAAATGCACACCCGAATTTTAGACTTACGTATCATGACCATGCCACGGGAACCAGATCCATAGTCACGATGATTTTATTTACGCGCCTAGAATTTTGCCCACCCCTACGATTATCCAAAAGCTTGATCGCATGAAAAGGTTCTCAAGAAAAGCTAACTGGAAAGACATGCTATAAATGATTAAAGATAATTCAGTACATCACCGAATCTACAATTTTATAACTTTGCATTGTGAATAAGACCATTGGTTATAGTAACTCACGTTATCTAACCTTAACCAAAAAAGAACCTTCTAAAGAAATGAAGCAGGCCTCATTCGCAGCCAGTAGGAGTTGGGGTGCGAGGACTTAAGGGAAATTCACGTTGAAACAAAAGAAAACTAACAGGAAAAAGACTTTAAACATTTTGCCGAATCAACATATCAAATACTAGATTTTAACTAGACAGTTTCAAAAGAAAAGAAAGCAATCTCAACGTGATTCATTCACAATAATACTCCAACAAATGTGATATTACAATAACACTTTAAGCGCATATCCTAGGTGAGACAAGTAAACAAGTAGACTACAACTGCACTTGGAACTTGTAGACCTTCGCTTACGCCAAAAGTATCCATAAAACAACATATAAATTGAACATCTCTAAAGTAATTTAACATTTTTACAGCTTTAAAGTGGAAAAACTCGAAACTGTTTGCAATTTTGCATCAAAAGGTATCACGACAAACTTGGCAAACAGCTTCACCCATGATGGTTGAGCTAATAACCACATGTAGGTCAAAACTGCATGGTCTTGTTTATGTTAACCCTGAAAAACTTTAGCAGCAGATCAGCATTGTAATAATTAAATCTTTTCTTGGAACTCTTAGAAGTTAAAAAGAAGAAACAACATATTTATGGATGTAAACACTTTTGATGCAAGGAAGATTCAAGAGGTATATTGGCATTCAATCTTTGACAATATAGCACTAACCTTATCAACAGGACCTTTAGCACCTCCTATGAATATTTCAGCACTGCAAATTAGGCCGCCATGAATGGGCCTCGATCGGCGACGACCTCAAAATCAATCGAACTCCATCAGTAGCGAGAATCGAACAGAGGTCGAAGTTCTCTGTATGAACAAACTCCAATGTTCAATTTCTAAAGTCAATCACGAAATTTGAAGAGCCCAGCTAATCGTCTTCTCCAAGAGTGAGTTCAGGGGTCATTGGTGAGGGAGATGGCTGGAGATCGGTGGTCTCTTAGGGTGTGTTTGGTTGTCCAGGAGCTGAACGGTGGAGGGCTGCTGTGTTCCGCAGCTGATTTTAGTTGCTTGGGGTGTGGATGAGATGAGGAGTTCTATTGTTTTTTCTTGTCCATGGTGAAAGGGGAAGAAGAAAACAGAACCGATGGGGAAGGGGTCTCTTGTGTGTATTAGCTGCGCAGCTTTGTGCGTATCTCCTTCTTCGTTATTATGCGCAGCTTTGCTGCTTTTTCGTTCCAGCCCCCTTTTGCTTTTTTGGTTTTCTTTTATTTATATAGTCTAGGTTTTTGGTAGGGTTTTAGGTTAAGGGTATGGGCCTAAGAATTATGGGCTTGGCAATTGTGGGTTAGGTCCAAAATTAGGCCTAAAGATGGGTTGCTCGAGCCCAAGCTCTATTCTTTCGCTGCGAACGAGATTAAAAATACGGGCCCATTTGTTAATTATTCCTACTTATTCAAATAATTATTAAAATAAAATTAACCATTAAAACAAATCTATTTTTGGTATTTTCAAATATCATATTAAAATAAAAATACGATACTATTGTTGTATATATTTTTTAAGATTTTTTTAGATTAAAAATGACTACAAAACATTAATGAACCTATTTTTTGTGATTTTTTGTTTTCTTGTAATAAAATAAAGTAAAAGAGTCAAAATTACTTAAAATATCTATATTATGCCTAAATTAAATATTTTACGCTAATATATAAAAAATCTTTTTGATGGTCAAAAATCACATGTCTACAGCTGCCCCTCTTTGACTGGAAACATACAGAGTTTTCAGACAAAGACTGACTAGACAGGTTTTTGATCCGACCCTTATTTGGAGAGACTAAAGCTAAGAGAGAAGGGAGTGTGACCGAGCCTTGGTATCTGGGTTGCCTACATATCCTTGGCTATAAAGGAATCAAGCCACGTGTATTTTAGAGACGAGTGAGGTGATGGAGTATACCGAGGTGGAGAGCCGGTCGAGGTGCCCGTCGAGGTTCCGGTCCGCAGTCCTGCTATTACATCAAAATCAAAACATGAAAAAGACTAGCTAAGCCTATCAACTACGAGTTACGAGATTCTTATCTATAAGTCTTCTGAAGCTTGATCTTGAGTCTTGAATGGTTCTTCATGCAGACTTTAGATTTGAACCTTGGCGCTTGTTAGCTGCAGGTGCTAGCTCATTCTTCTACAGCTTTTGGGTCAGGACCGGACATGTAGTGCTTGTGACTTCCACCACGTCTTAAGCAGTTCACATCTTTCATCAACTTCTGCATTTGGATTCACTTCTTTCCTTTCTCTCTTTTCTTTATTGTGACTAACTTCTGTTGATCACCTCAGACTGTTGACTCACATTCTTGCCGCGAGATTCTTTGGTTGCTGACTTGAATTGCAATCTGAGATGCTTTTCCTTTTCTTCAGGTAGACGCCTGACTGTTGAACTCGAACTGTCTTCTCTTGTTACTTGACACTGTTTTCCTTTGCACCTTGAACCATTTTCCCCTGAAACTTGAACTGTCTTCCTTCGAAAC